AAAAAACAAAAAAAAAAAAACTTTAATAGACAATTTTTTTGTAAAATAAAGCCAAACGTGAACAAAAAAATCCGAAATTTCAAAAAAATTTCTGGTGGAAAATTATATCAATCAAACACACTTAATTAACAATTCACTGGAAAACAATTTCTAAACAATTACTTTCCCTATAATTCATTTTATTTCCACCCATTTTCCACCGTTGCAATCAAACGGACCCTTATATTTTTTTTGTATTGATTCTTGCAAAACTAGTCTCATCAATGTAATAGAATCTCTATTTATGATTTACTCTCTTTATGGCCCCTATACAAATTGCATCTTGGGTCTTCAAGGTTGCAAGAACAATTGCACAATTTTATTTTCAAGTTGGTTACATAAATTTTTCACAACTCAATATAATTCATCATTATAACTACTCTTATATAATTATCTTTTTAATAGGCGTACGCATGATAAAACACGGTTTACGTAAACTGACCTCAACTACTAAGGCTAGAGAGAACGTATCAAGCCACAACAAATGCTAGTTGTGTTCATCTTGCCTCAGCCAATACTGTCTAAGCCAATAGCAATTTGAATCTGTCATACCGTTTGACAAATGAAGGCTAGCTAGTTAACCCTCGTGCCATCCAAGTCGTACAAGTAAGCCTTCATAGCATTTAAGTAGTGTGCACATAACAAGGTCCCTGTAAGTTGATTACGTAATTGATATCTTCTAATCTCTTGGAGACTTACGAACCAATAACAAATGCTAGTTATGAAGTTCATTGAGCAACTCTCGAGCTCATTTGTACAATTATCACTGAACTAGATCGCACGCACCATTTGACATGTCCTAACATGCCATTACGGAATGTTGACGTCCTCTATAAACAATTTATCCGATGGGCAAATCTTAAAACAATTATTAATAGGAATAAAGCTATGTGTATATAATTCTTTACACAATCCTTTACATCCCCCTCACATGGAGGGAGGTCCACACATAATAAAATAATCGTGGGCCCCCCTCCATGTGATGGGGTGTAAATGATTGTGTAATACATGAGGTGTACATGTAGCATCACCCTATTAATAGAAGTACCTCTGCTAAATGATGT